CCAGAAGATTGGCCTGTCTGAGGCCCTTTGGCCAACTCTCTCTATTTCGTTGGCAACTTGTTTGCGACTCGGCCCGTCTATTTTGTGATGTTGCTGCTGCTGCTGGTGCTGCTGCTACCTCTTCTGATGATGTTGCTGCTGCATTTTACCGGCTCATTTCAACTTGGCCCGAATGCATTTTCTATACAAACACAGACGGAGCCAGAAGCTGAGGCAGAAGCAGATATAGCTGAAGCAGACAACCGCAATTCGGTTGGGCATGGGTATGGCCGGAACACGGAGAGAAAAAGGTTAAGAAAGTGATTGGTAGCTCTACTTTTTATTTTGAGAAATTTGCAGATCTTAAAGGGATTTCTAAATAATACATACGATTTCTAAAATCATCACTTGTAGCATTTTGAAAAACATTTTTTAAGGTTAGCCCAAAAGTGCATGAAATAACTTCCTAATTTAAAATACTAATAAATATAGTTATCAGCTCATTTGACAATACTTTAAAATATAATATATAAGTAATTTTCCAGGGAACCTAATATCTTAAAGATTTTATATTTGTAATTGATTCTCAAATTAATTGAAAATTATATCTTATTACCCTTTTTTTTGCATTAGTCAAGGTAAAATAATTTAAACAATCAAAAAACTACTAATGATGTGATTTTGGTAAAATGACTCGTCGACCAATATTCTTAGTTATTGTTACACTATTTTGCCTGTGCACCAAGACCAGACCCCCTCACCTCCCTCTTCACCCATATCATTTCGACTGGAGAATGGCAACTTTTTGCTTTATTGGCTTTATTGACTTTTGGTAAGTTCTCTTCCCGGTTGACTTCGTTTCGTTTCGATTCGTTTTGTGGCCAGCTCCTTGGACTGGAGGACGGACGACAAGCTATTTCCGGGGAAGAGTGGCAGGAAGAGGGACATCCTCTAAAGGGTATGCCGGCAGTCGGTTAGTAAACTCCCCTGATTGCTGGTTGTGTTTATTCGCTTATAAAAATAAATAAACCCAACGCCGTCGAATCAGTGAAAGAGTCGATAGGCGGGAGGGAGCAGGACGGCAGGAGTGGAGGGCAGAGCAGGACAGAAGTTGGCAGTTGCAAGACCGTAAAACTGGAAAGTTGTTTGGTCAGTTCTACCGACAACAGCAGCAGCAGCAGCAGCAGCAGCAGCAGCGGCAGCAACAGCAGCAACATCTACCGACAACAGCAACATTTAGTGTCGAGTGCTGGCTCTGGGGCTTTGATTTTCTCGCTGCCGAGCTGCGAATGAAAATTTATGAAAAATCACTCAATTTTCCAGCTGCTGCGGAAAAGTGTGTCATCCGCCAAAAGTTGCCAAGCAGAATCCCCAGCCAAGATCGCCGAGTGTCTTTCTTTGGACTCGACTCGCAGTTGCAACTCGATCTTGGTTGGTTTCTTGTTTTTCTTTTTCGGCTGAAATCTGGTTTTGTCTGGGCCTACCTCTCTCTTTCTCTTCCCCATACCTCCGTCTCTTTCTGTTTTGTTTCTGATTCTGTTTCTGTTTCTTTACCATTTGCATGGCTAAAGTTGAATCATCGATGTCGATATCGAGCTGGCGTATCTGGCAGATACTTTTGCACTTCTCCGCATGCAAATGCTTTTGTATTTTTGCCAGTTTCGGGGTATTTGGACTCTGGATTTGGCACTCGCCAGGGAACTGGTTTTCCGCCAACAGGACCGAATTCAGTGTCATCTCGGCGTTTCCACCAATCCATCCAGTCAATTAGCAATTAGCCGCAGCGTCGTAATTAATAAAAGAAACACGCGTCCAAATGATGTTAACTAAATTGTTTTTGATTTATGCCTCAAGTTCGAGTTCATTTCGGTTATGAGTGAGTGCCGGAGTGCCTGGGCAACTTTAAGCCAAATTTATGATAAGCTGTTGGCCATTTGGCCTGCGCTAACCTCAAGCCAGAGATACAGATTCAGATGCAGATACAAAACCGAATGCGAAAGTGAAAGTGGCCGAAAAAAAAAGACAGCACTCCTGGATCTCCCTCTCGCCGTCTCTTTCTTTTTCTCATCATCCCGCGTCGTTTGTCTCAAGTGATTTTATTACCGCCTTTCGTGTCTCTCTCTTTTTGGCTCTTTGTGTTTGTTAACTTTGGCTTTTGTTTCTGGCTTCGGTGGAGTTTCAAAATAAAATTAAACGCTAAGAAAAACAAAAACAGACAGCGAAAAATAAAAAAAAACCAAAAATGATTACAACGATTTATACGTAGTGCGGGGCAACGTGAGTTCGGCATCACGTTTCCTTTTTATTGCTCTCTGAATTTGTTATTTTTGCTGTTGTCATTTTTCATTTCGGGTTCAGTTGGCTGGCTGTGTTTTTCTCGTTCGGTTATTTAATGATTTAAAGATTATACACGGTCCACCAGGCGACCCTTTTACACTCCTGGTCGGCCCAAAGTGCTCCTTCGCCTCTTTATCCCCGAAAGCTGAGGCAGAAAAACTTTCGCTTTTTTTACACCTTTTTTGGTCAGGTAAAGTTAAGTAAAAAAAAGCGTTGTGTAAGAGCATGTTAATTTGGGACGAAGGCAAAAGGTGTTAAAATTGCAGATAATGTCTGCGGTTTGTTGTTTGAGCTCTCTTTCTCTTTGTCTATATGTATGGTATATAAACCCTTTCTTTGAGGCATGGCGTTCACACTCCGATGACAGGGATCTCTATTAAGCGACCCAATTACCTTGAAACTCTGGTTTGGCAGGGTTAAGATAAGCCGCTTAGAGGGAAATCTGTAATTCAGGGGGTGGTTATGCGACTCAGACTGGCTCATATATGATAAGTCAGACTCGGCTAATCGCCTCACCTTCGAGTAAAGCACCCAAGCACCCTTGCCCCGCGAAACCAATTAATTTAATGGGCCAACTTTGAGTCACTCGTTCTTCATAAATATGCTAATCAGCCAGCGAACCCGCCTCCAATTTAGACAAAGAATAGCTAATTTGGGCACTCGATATAGACTGACACAGTTTTGCAATTATTCAATGGGCAGACACAATTAAAATTGTGAGACACGATTTGCTCTTGACTGGAGCGAAATGTCAAACGTTCACAATGGGAGTGAAGTTGTTTTTTTTTCGAGACGTTTAGGCAGGCCATTAGACAGATAGCGCGCGCATCCGTCAGATACGGCAAACGGCTACATTAGCGGACTCAGAAACAGCAACAGCAAACGGCGACAGCAATGGCAAACGAAACCAAAACAGATACAGATACGAGTGGCGAAACGGAGATACAAGTTCGAGTACACAAGGCATCGATTATTTCAAAGCAAACTGGTTCTGCCGGTGCCCAACTATAGATAAGTATTTCAGTGTTCCAGGCAATAAATGCGTGGGAAAGCGACTAGGCCAGTCCGCAGTATCGCAGAATTATGGCCAGTCAGCCTAGCACAAAGCCGGTAGATGTGCAATTACAGATAAGTCCGAACTCATTATAATAACAAGAAAGGAAAGCTAACTTCGGGCGGAGCCGAAGTTGATATACCCTTGCAGAATACTCTGTAAATTATATTCTCCAAAATTATTCATATGATGCATTCTTGATACTCATAAAAAATCCCAACTTCCTAACTTTAAAAACACCAAAGTTATGGCATTTCCAATCGTTCAGTTATATGGCAGCTATAGGATATAGTCGGCCGATCCTTATAAAGTTTGGTAGGTCGGATTGATTGGCCAAATATAAAACCCATAGAAAATCCCAACTTCCTATCTTTACAAACACCAAAGTTATGGCATTTCCGATCAATCAGTTATATGGCAGCTATAGGATATAGTCGGCCGATCTCGGCCGTTCCGACATATATACTGCGTGCAAAGGAAAGAAGGGTGTGTGCAAAGTTTCAATTCGATATCTTTAAAACTGAGAGACTAGTTCGCGTAGAAACAGACAGACGGACAGACAGACGGACATGGCTATATCAACTCAGGAGGTGATCCTGATCAAGAATATATATACTTTATAGGGTCGGAGATGTCTCCTTCACTGCGTTGCACACTTTTGACCAAAATTATAATACCCTCTGCAAGGGTATAAAAATGAGTTATTAAAGCCCCGAATCTGAAGAACCCAAAACTTTTCGCCGAAAACTAGCCGAGAGTAATGGCTCCGCGACCTGTGGCTCTGCTTTTTGGCCCAAACTTTAAATTAAAGCCCCTCGTTTGCTCTATCCTCTTGTTCACTTTTCTCGCTTTTTGTTAATTTCTTGGAAGCTGTCAACGTTGGGAATTAATTCTTACACCACGAGCCCGGCCTGGACCTGAACCTGGTTTCCTGGCCTAGCGTTTGTCCCGCACAAAGAGGTGGAGAATCAAATCATGCAAGAAATTTGTTACTGACATAAAAATTACCATCATTATAATGTCTGGCCCCGTCTAACACGAACACGAACACTCCACAGTGAAGCAGGAAGAGCGGCACAAAAGCCAGTATGTGGTAATAGAAAATGTCGAAATGGACACTGGAAAAAAAATACCAGGAATTTCGGACTAGGATTAAAACCTCTATGGGATGGGATAAATACACCCTAATGATCCCAAAAGGGGCGTTAAAGTTAGATATTCCATTCTTCATAAAATAAAAAAGGTAATAAAAAAACTGGCAACATGTTTAATAACTATTTAAATTTCTCAAAATAAATTAAGTTATTCTTACGAATTCTAATTTTGTACTACTTTGTAAAAAGATCTATTTATACTTTGTAGGGATGTTTCTACTTGGTATTTACAAAGGTCCTGAAATCTGATATGCCTTGCAAACCAACTGAACCGCATGCACCCCGCATTTTCCTGAGTGCACTTTTCAGCGGGTAAGGGAAATGAAACTCGAGACTGGCCAAAGACGACAAAGGAGTGCCTGGTCGAGAGTAACGGGTCAGATGAGTGATCGATGCTGTCCGGGATGGGGTGAGAGTGGCTCCAGGGATTGCGGATTGGACATTGAAGAAGGGAGTGGGACTCAAACGGAACTCACCTGCGCATGATGTGCAGCGGCAGTGGCAGCGTGAAGCGTCCATCGCTCATGTGGGGCGCTGGGAGCGGACCTGGTCCCGGCAGTGGCACCGTCGATATCACGGACGTCAGCGCTGGCGGCGTCGCCGGAGCGGCATGTTGCTGTTGTACCGCTGCTGCAACAGCAGCAGCAGCAGCCGCTGGTGGGGGAGGGGGCGGAACTGGAACGGGAACGGGCAGAGCGCTGTAGGGCGGCGGGTAGTGGGCGTGTAGGATGTCTGGCAGCAGAGCTCGTGCCAATCCCATGGCCGCGGGGTGAGGATGGGGCAGGGGGTGGGGATGAGGAAGAGGGTGGTGAAGGTGCGGAGGTGGGTGCAATTGTGGTGGGGGAGGAGGGGGCGGATGACGCCGCGGGTGGTGTGCCGGAATCTGTTGTTGCTGCTGCTGCCGGCGTTCTCTGCGCTCCTTGCGACGTTGCTCCCGTGTTCGCATCTGTTGTTGCTGCTGCTGTTGTTGCTGTTGCTGCTGCTGCTGTTGTTGCTGTTGCAGGTTTGATGATGAACTGGCCGACAGGTCATCCGTTTGGCATTCCGTTGAGGTGAAGGTGCGTGGGTGGCTATTATTGTTGTTGCTAGCATTCACATTGATTATATTGACACTGTTATCGGTTTGCACATGATTATTATTGCTGCTCGTGGCAGCAGCAACATGTTGCATATCCCCGCCTGTGGGGCTAATATTATTATTTAGCTTATTCTGAACACTTGCACTGAACACTTTGGCTGCTGGCACACAATTATTGATTTCCACCACGCTGCTATTGTTGCTGGTGTTGTTGTTGTTGATGTTGCTGATGTTGCTGCTGCTGTTGCTGCTGGGGGTGTAGCTGCAGTTGACAACGCACACGCCATTGTTGTTGTTCACGATGCTCGTGGGCGAAGCCACCAAGACCCGATTGCCGTTATTAGTACCGTTAGTGTTGCTGTTGTTCACTTGGATCGTTAGGCTCGGCTGTCGCTGGCAGGACTTGGAAGTTGGCGTTGCTGCTGCTGGCAGCACCGCAATGTTGCTGATGCTCTTGGCCTCGTCGACAACTTGATTGTCGCCGCTGTCGGTGCTGCTGCTGCCGGACACATTGAGAAACACACTGCTGCTGCTGCTGCTGTTGTTGCTGCTGCTGCTGGTGGCGCTACCAGCAACAGTTGCTGCTGCCACAGTGGCTGGCACATTTAGACGCATTTCGCTGACGGTGGCGGTGGCGTTGGCGTTTTCAATGTCCAACTGGCTCAGACCCCGCTCGAATCTGCTTTCACTCGCGCGAAATTCGGCATACAGACGCTCGAGTTCTGCCAAACATTTGTTGGGCCGCAGCACGTTGCTGCTGCTGTCGTACAGTGGGCGATTGCTGCTGCCTGCGTAGTAGCAGTTCCGGTTGCTGTTGCTGTTCGCGTTCGTTGTTGGCCCGCCGAAAGTTGCCGAGAGACTGATCGCCGTTCGCTCGCCGCTGATGTTGCTGCCGTCGCTGGTGTTGCTCGCGTAGCTCGTGTTGCTGCTGGCTGCTCGCAACGCTGGCGTGTTGCTGGCTCTCACACGCTCTCTTTGCTCTCTGGCGGCACAGGAAACAGGTTGACTGACCTGCACTGCCACCGAGCTGGTTTCCTCGTTCCCTCCTGATGATGTTGCTGTTGCTGTTGCAGTTGCAATTGCTGCTGCCGCTTCGTCTCTCTGTTCATTGATAATGCAATTCGCTGCGCTGCTGCTGCTTGGGTTTTCTTCGCTTTGTTGTGATCTCGCATTCGTTGCTGGGCTTTGTGTTTCCGTTGCCGTTGTCTCAGTGTTGCTGCCGTGCCGTATTGCAGTTGCTGGCGTGAATGGAGCGCAATTCTGCGGGAGAGACAGAGAAGAAGATACATACATACATATACACCGAATGACAAGATTTAAGTTTCAAGTCGTAATTAATGCTAATTGCTCGGGGGATTACCCGCTGCTCATTTTCCCTCGCAATTTCCCGCCAAAAAAGGTGGCAAAGAGGGATCGGGATCCTTCGGGTGGGGCATAAATGTGCGCTTAATTGAATTAATTAAGCCAACGCATAAACATAAAACCGTCACGAGTAATTGTTGTTTTTGTTGCTGCTGCTGCTGGTGGTGGTTGTGTTGTTGTTGTGGCTGCTGCCGCCTGTGATGTGCTGATAAAGCTGTTGGTCCCTGTCCCTAACTCAAGCTCGAAACCCGAAACCCAAAACCCAATCCCAATCCCCATCGACATGATGTGGGTTAAAAGCCATGCGGATATATCTTTACTCTGTTTTATTGTGCATGTGGGTTCTAATTATGTTACGCTGTGTTACTTGCATTAATTACGTCACAGAAATATAATGTGATTTACTGTTAGACCGTCCACCCCCCCCCCGCACAAACTTATTGTTCTAATGCTGTTCAGTCTTGTGCACTGTGATTGCGCTGCTCTTGCCGTCGAGTGCGTTGCAATCACAACAGCGACATGGGTTAAGAGAAGGGGATTGTTGCGGGTTGTGGAGGGTGCCGAAAAATCAAAACTCATCCTCGGCTAACGGTGCTTGGCAGTGGAAAAGCGCCGGCAACTTCATTACTTCTTGCCCATAAACCTCTCGTCATGACTCAGTCGTCAAAGCCACGCATATAAGCAGAGATATGTACATATGTACTGGGAAAAGGGGGAATAGAAGTGGGGCGGAGAGGGCTCATGAATATGAAGACGAACTCGGTTTGAACCATTTGTCATTGCTTATTAAGTTCGGCCATCCATGAAGAGATTGACAGTGGAAATGGATCGGAATACCAGAAGTTTAAGATTAAAGGGGGTTTATTCGCGGAAAAATGTTTCTTTAAGTTGGACATCTTTTCAGTTTACTTTTCACTTTAGAAAACAAATTATCAGAGACATATCAACAATGGAATTTAATAGAACTTCACATCATATGATTGATGAGCTTTTATGAGTAGATGGACTTGACCTTTTATTTGATATGTTATCAAATCGAAAACAATGTTCTTTAGATTAGTCCACTTTTTGTGATTTTATTTAAGATATATGAACAGAGGAATTTGCAAATAACATATTAGTTTCATTGTTTATTTTCGTTATACTTGCTCTATGCAATTGATATGACAAATAAAGGATAATATTTGAAATATGTGAACAATGGAATTTTTTTAATGTCTCATATCAAATGATCGATGTTTTACAAGCTCATATAGGTAGACATTCTATCAGCATTTATTTTTATCGTATTTGTATGCAATTGATATGACTCCATTTATTTTGATAGTATAATACGTTTTCCAGAAACGAAAACTGATATTTTTGTTTTTCCCCCACCCCTTTGTGAAACCATTGATATGCACTTTTCCCTCTCTATTTGCACCACACCGCCTTTGTGCTTTGTTTGTCATTTTTGTGCGGTCAATTTTCCGTTTCGCTGACGCCACATAAACAAATTATGAAGTGTGCACAGAAAACACAGTCACATGCGAACCCCTATGCGAGTACTTTATGCCGTTCTTTATGCATATGCATATAAAATTTAATATGTGGAAACAATGCCCCGCCACCGCCCCCGCCCCTGCCCCTCCTTCTCTTGTGGTCTTTTGGTCCAATGTTCGATTCTGATAGGCAACATATGGCGCTTATCTGCGAGGGATGCTAGCGGCACTTAAGGGCCTAAGTGAAGCATTAGCCCTTATCGGGGTTACAAGAGGGTAAGGGGGGGTATACATAATACGGGGTATAGGGCTGTCAATGGGCACGATAAGGCGACAGTTCGACTTGGCGCTCCCATTTCGCGCTTGAGTCTCCCACAGTTTCCCATTCGCGGCGCCAAGTATTTTGTGTTGAGCCCTTGACATCAAATTTGATGGTGCTCCATTAAGCAGCTGAAAGTATATCTAGGGGGTGGGGGGTTTTACGCTCACCCGCGATGGAATAGGTATCCCATTTTCACCTTGACGGGGTGCAAGGTACTTGTCAAAGTGGGTTAGGTATCTATGAGGGGTTTGCATTGTTAAAAGGAAACCTTTATGCTTTATGGACACTGTTAAAAAGTATTTTAAGTGCGTACTAAATGGAAAGCAGCTCCTAATTTGTTACTTTGTGTTTTTATTTGATGGACAAGAGCATATCATAAGATTCTGTGTTTTACAACCATTGAAAAGGGGGATTTTATAAGTAAATTTAATCCCATACATTTATGGAATACGAAGTTCCTTAAGCAATATATGAGTTTGGGTGTAGTTAATTCCTAATATATTTTTTTAACCTTAGAAACCCACCTGCGAAATGTAGTCATCCGTGAAGGAGCGCCTCAAACCCAATCCAGCGGGAACATTAGCCGTTAGTGGAGCAGCCTGGGATCGATTCTTCTCCTCATCCGCATCCCCATCCCTATTCCGATCCTGATCCTCTGGTGCTGCTGCTTTTGTTGGCGATCGTTGCGATCTATCACATGGTTCGGCAGCCACCCCCACATCCCCACTGGCCTTGAGGATCAGCGAGGCGGCGGGAGGAGCTCCAACCTTCGAGCTGGAGGCGGTGTACAGTGACTCGTAGGAGGGTGGCTCCTTGATCGAAGTGGCGGCCGAGGAGCACCACTGGGTGAGGGTGCGGGTGGGGCTGCCCTGGTAGGCGGGGAACGAGTACCGGTTCCGCCTGCCCCCCACACCCACGCCCACTCCGCCGGCGGAGATGTCGCCCTTGGCCAGGTGATCGAAGCCAGCGATGGCCGCGTCGAAGGCGCTTAAACTAAACGGGGGAAACGAAGGCACGGGGGGCAGGAGCAGGGCGGATCCGCTGTCCAGCGCCTGCTGGTGGTGGGCGAAAAGGGGGAGGTGGGCGTGGTGGGGGTAGTGGGGGTGGTGGGGCTGGTTCAAGGCCGAGGCCTCGTAGCTGCTGTGCGACTTGCGCAGCTGCCGGTTGAGCCGCTCGTCGTCGTCCTCCTCCTCGGCCTCCTCCTCCGAGGAGCTGGGCAGGGGCGTCCGCTCGTAGGGGGGTCCACAGCATCGAGGAGAGCGCCTCCTCCACGTCCGGCGGTCGCTGCCGATGCGTTCCGGCCGCCGGTCCCCCCGACCCACCTCCTGCCACTGCTCCCGCTCCCGGCCCATGACTAGGTGTGTTCCGTTCCGACAAGGACATGCTGCGGTGGTGGCCACAGTCGGATGCCTCATCGCTCCGCAGTGCTCCACATCAGGTGGTTACATGCCGGAACATCCTGCAAGGAATTCACAGAAAAAACACTTTATTAGAAAAAGTTAGGCTATCTCATCGAAATATTTTGGTAACACAAAAATGTAATTAATGTTTGACCACCAACTATTTGATTTAAGAACATATGTTCAAACGGAGATTATTTGAGATCCAATAAATTTGGTGAAGTTATAATAACTAGCATAAAAATGGGTTAAAATTTTAAACAGCGTAAAAATGATCAATTTCAATGCAGATTTTTAGAGATTTAAATCACAAGTCTTAAGAGGTATGCCACTTTGGAATCGGATAAAATTTGGTAAAGTTATGGAATCTAGAAGTCCAATTATGGGGCCCCTTTTTTAAGTTATCCAAAACTTAGTAATAACTAACATGAAAATGGGTCAAAATTTTGATAATCGTCAAATTGAAAATTTTGAATGCAGTTTTTTATAGAATCGAATTACAAGTCTTTAGAGGTATGCCACTTTGGAATCGGATTAAATTTGGTAAAGTTATGAAATCTGGAAGTCCAATTATGGGGCCCCTCTTTTAAGTTATCCAAAACTTAGTAATAACTAACATGAAAATGGGTCAAAATTTTGATAAACGTTAAATTGAAAATTTTGAATGCAGTTTTTTAGAGAATCAAATTACAAGTCTTTAGAGGTATGCCACTTTGGAATCGGATTAAATTTGGTAAAGTTATGGAATCTGGAAGTCCAATTATGGGGCCCCTTTTTTAAGTTATCCAAAACTTAGTAATAACTAACATGAAAATGGGTCAAAATTTTGATAATCGTCAAATTGAAAATTTTGAATGCAGTTTTTTATAGAATCGAATTACAAGTCTTTAGAGGTATGCCACTTTGGAATCGGATTAAATTTGGTAAAGTTATGAAATCTGGAAGTCCAATTATGGGGCCCCTCTTTTAAGTTATCCAAAACTTAGTAATAACTAACATGAAAATGGTGCAAAATTTTGATAAACGTTAAATTGAAAATTTTGAATGCAGTTTTTTAGAGAATCGAATTACAAGTCTTTAGAGGTATGCCACTTTGGAATCGGATTAAATTTGGAAAAGTTATGGAATCTAGAAGTCTAGTTACTAGTCATCGAAAACATAGTAATAATTAACATGAAAATGGGTAAAATACTTTAAATATTCCATATTTTGATTTCGATTCTTAAAAACAATCTAGGTGATTTGGTATAATAACTGTTTAAAGACCCAGATTTGGGAGACTGAGAAATTTTAAGTAATGCCGTTTAATTTCCATCAAGTAATTTGTTTGCTTTTTTCCTTCCCTTAAATTAGTTCAATAGTTGCTGACCTCGCTGTCTTACAAACATATATCGATTCAGCTCCTCTTATTATTTCTAGAAAATATTTAATATTTGGACTTTCCATTTTATTGCTGATAGAGAAATAAATTCCAGAAATGTTCGCAACAAAATGAGGACAGGCATGTAGCAACTCGAATGGTAAATGGAAATGAAAAACTTTTAACTAAGCAAATGGCTGACAAATTAAACGCTTACAATGCCCCAATTTCGAAACCAGAAACTTTTCAGCCCGGCTCGGCCTTTTCCAATTTGATAAATTGCGATTAAAGCATTTGAAATCGGTAGAGCAGGATGGAAAGAGGTTTTCTAAGTGAATATGCCCGCCGGCGGGGGGTTTACGGGGATGGGAGGGAAAAAAACCTAAAAATGGAAAACCCCAAAACGAAATAAGCCAGCAGACATGAAAAACAAGCATCCGTTTTGTGGAAAATATATGCAGAAAAGTTTGCGATGCAAAGTTTTTGGCAGCCTCGGTCTCTCTCGTATTTCCTCTTCTTTTGCCCCAAAGGAGTTTGGGAAAACTTTGCCACACAGGGGGGAAAATCGAGTACGTGTGTGCGTGTGTAGGCCGTGCCAAGCCAAGTTTAAACTGGCATCGAGTGGAAGGGAATGGCTTAACTGCCATCCGACTAAACGGGAGACATCGAAACGGAAATGGCTGGCCATCCAGTTGACTGCAGCAATGGCATTGCCACCACAGCAATAACACTGGGAGAAAAAATGTGAAGTTAAAGGCCAACTCGATTTCATATGCTGAAATGATTCGGGGGCTAATGAATAATGGGGAATTGAAAACCTTTAGAAACCTGCACATTCTCCCTAGGACAACTTAATGTAAATTAAATGGCAACAGATTTGTAATACCGTTTTTTACAGCCTAACCTATGTAAATATTTGGGAAAGAACATGTAGTTTTCTTTAATAATTCCTAATTTAGATTGAAACGTTAAGTCCACAGTCATTAAAAACTCGTTATCTTAAGGTGTCAGAATTAAACATCTTATTGACTGATGAAATAGTTAATAGGTATCTGCCTAGACTTACGATCTACTGGTGATAAAATTAAGATTAAGGTTTTCAATCGTTACGGTTCCTGATGTAAGATAATAAGTAGTCATCGAATTAAAGGCATAAACTGATTATAAACTTTAGATTCCAAGCTGACTTTGATTGGATATAGATTTTTCTAATAAAATCATATTTAAATTAAGTTTAAATTTAATTATGATTTATTGAACTAAATTGGATGTCAAATATATAATTTAACCATAAACAAAAGGTGCAAAGAAGTGTTCAAAACACACCAAAGTTGCTGATATTTCCCCCAGTGGAGCACCCATCTGAATCGAAAGAGTGGGGCAAGTTGAAGCTCTTGAAGTCGCTTTTCCAGCTTGGCTAGCAAGTTTTATGTGTTGCATATCCCGAGGCGCTTGACTGTTCTAATTTTTTCACTCGCTGGCCCTTGGACCCTTCTTCCGGCCCCGACTTTCTACCATTTTCATTCTTTTCAGGGCTTCACTGTGTTTGTGGGCTTCCACCATTGAATTGGTTTCATTCTGCCATTCTTTTTTTAGTCGTGTTTTGTGTTATGCTTAAATAAAGATTTGTGTTAGTGTGTTTCATTGTTGCTGTTCTTCATTTTGCTGCTGTTGTTGTTGCGCACTTTCCTTGTGTTTGTTTGGCAAGTTTATGTGCAGTGGTGGCCTTCATTGTTGTCATTCTCAATGGTCGCCGTTTCATTGTTGTGTCGAAGGAAGAGGAAGCCCCAGCCCACACTCACACACACACACTTTGAGGCATTCACGCCGAATTAATACGTATGTGCAACAATTGAGAGTGAGTGTGTGTAATATGCATGTTACCTACTTTTGTGAGCTTTTAATTAACAACAAGCCTCGCACAACAAAAAAAGCGAAAGAGAAATGGAACTGAGAACTGAGAAGAAAGAAGAAAGAAGCAAGTAAGCCTTGAATTCTCAAAGGCATTTTGTGGGGACTTTACAAGTGTTTCTTTCAGGTCGTTAAATATGCAGTGCATATTGTATTGCAAGCTATGTGGGGATTTGCAGCAGATTAAATTGCCATTGAGTAATTTTCGACCTCTTTTGAGGGCTAATGAGGCCTGATGAACGACTGAAGTATTATCGAAAATACGAAATGAGTTTTTTCAGAAAATTTAAAAGTTCCCTCGACTCAAAGAGAAAATCGCCACAAAGAAAATAAGTAAGCAGCCAAATATTCAAATATTTACGCAGCGGAAACTCTGCGAAAAAGTCTGCGGAAAACGTCGCCCAAATGAGCACTGCACCAATTCAATGGAATTATTTACATAAATATTCACAAAGCGACCAAGATGCTGGCATATTTTATTTTTTATTTCTATGTGCCATTTTTATTTGACTAGACGTGCGTCAGTCAATCATGCTTCAGAACTTTTTCCCGCTGGGGAATTTCCCTGCCCCGAAAAGGGGGAAAAAACTTGGAAGCAGCAGCAGCAGCGTTGCCATCGACAACTGAGCACAGAGGCAAATTGCTGCCAGTATGTTTGTAATGCAAACAAACTTTATCTAATTAAAGGAACACGTGTTACCCAACGCCCCCTTTTCCGTCTAGGGAGCTTCATCGTCTTGGTCTGCGTCTTGGGGATCGAGGTCTATATCTCCTCCGTCCGAATATTCCATGGGATGCCAGCAGATGCTTTACATTGATGACGAGGCACTCGAAATGCTTTTGATGTCTCACTTTGCATTTGCCGATTCGACATGCGAGTGTGTCTCCGAGTGTGAGTGTTAGTATGAGTATGAGTGCGAGTGTGAGTGTGAGCCTGAGTGCGTGTGTGCGTAACTTCCGCTTCCTGTGCCCCTAGGCCGTCTCTCCAATGCGACTCTCTTCCGGCTGACTGGGCTTCTTCCCCAGTCTCCGGCACTCTCGAGTGCCTTTTGAGTTGTTTGTCAATATGTAGACCATTATTCAATCAATATATTGACACACATTTCATTTCCTCCCGGCAAACGCCTGCCATTCTGCCATCCAGCCAGCCAGCCATTCTGCAGGACCCCTCTCGCCCATAATCCTGCCAAGTGCTAATCGCAAACAAAGTAGTTTTTGCTTGAGTTCCATTTCAATTTCTTTTGACGTCTCACCCACTCATTTTGGCCCATTTTTATGGCTCGTGGCTGTTTGGTTTTTCGCTTCGCCTTCAACGCCACTTCCTTGCGATTCGATTCGATTCGATTCGATTGATTCCTTCACCAGCTTTACGTACTTTGACACACTTCCAAGGCACCGTGATGCCTTTGCCCCCGGGGACTTACATTTCCGCTTAACTATTGTTGGAGCAGGAGTTCGAGGGCCAGGGAATTGGAAATGGAAATGGAAAGGGAAAGCGGAGACTATACTCCTCAAATTGAATTTGAAGCCGGGGTCCCTTCTCTGTTATTTGCACACGAGCCGATATTCCTCTTCGTGAGCCCTCCCATTTTTAATTTAATTCGGCGCCTTTTGCTTTGGCACTTAAAAAGTTTTTCCCAGTGCCCGAAAGTAGGCAACGAATCCGGAACCGAATCCGAAACAGAAAAAACCGTGCTAAGGTGTTACACTAAAGGAAAACTGGGGACTTTTGCCAGTGCTATAAATTTGTTACAAGCAATTTTTAAAAATTTTAATTATTTATGAAAAATGTTGACCAATTTTAAAGAGCCTTAAAGGCTCAGCATAGGGTATAAAACTGTGGAAGAATATGGAAATACTTTTAAAAAAGAAATAACAATGTGCCTAAAACATATATAAATAAATACATTTGTTTATAAAATAAATCAACAATAAATAATGAAATCTTAAATTTGAATTGTATTTAATTTTCTCTTTGAGAAATACCTTTAATGGTATCAAAAACATTTATTCAATCACTTATCAACGAACACGAAGTCTAGGCCTTAATTAACTTTTAAAATGTAATAGTCAAGAGCCAGTAAAACTTAATGATAATGATAGTTTCGTCTGTTTCATCAACTGTTTTTCTCACTGCATTGGCATCGAAATGCGCAAACGAATGCGATCGAGTTGCTAAATCACTTAAGCCATTCAAGTTTCGTTTCAATTTTTTAGCGATACAGAGAACAGGGAAATTGTGATAGAGAGATTACCATTGTAGTTAGGAGATTTGTTGGGGAAAGCTAAAAGAGCAGTGTAAGGAATTGACTTCTGAAGCGTGGCCCAATAATCCGCATTGAATGGAAACTTTTGGGTTTTTGCATTCTTTTTTTTTTTTTGGGAGATAAATTCTCGAGGCCCGTGCTCTGCATAATTAAGTCAGGCAAGTGCAGTATTCAATTTAAGTTCTACGGACTTTTCCCAGGGCTTCAATTAACCAACTATAAACAAGCTGCTAACTTGGCCAAAACAGTGGAGGGCTGCAGCTGCAGGTGCTCGCCACTTACCATGCAGTTCGCCGTCGTCTCGGATCCTGCGAGGGGCAACACGAAACAGGACCTTAAAGCTGCTTTGACTGGCGGCTGCTCTTCAAAGTTTCAAGGCTCTGGCCAAGTTTTTTGTCCTCCTCGGGTCCTTTGTAATTGGTGAGGGTGGCCGGAGGGGGGAAGGCGGTGTGGTGATGCGCTTAATTATGCTAAAAGCAGGCAGCAACTTTGCCAGCTATAGAAATGAATATTTACACCTGCCCCGGATGCAAATGTGGCGCCAATGTCAAAGCCATCCAATGCGGCGCCAGAGGTAAATAATGCTGCGATATGTACCATTCAACACTAGGAGTTCTGGCTTTAAGTTTTTTATTTAAGCTTGTTTCACAGATCACTCGGAGTCCCAGTTTTTAGCTTGGTCATTAACTTTTTAACTGCCACGGAACACTTTTTGAAGTCGCGGCCATTTCCCGCTTGTTACGACTTTTGGGAATTATCCCCTTTTGAGCCCGGAAAAACACTGATTTTGCCCAGGCTGCGGCGACGGAAAACGCGAACGAACTGACTGGCCTGGCAGCTGAACAAAGGCTTTTCAATGCTAACTTGGCTTTGGGGGAAAACCCAACACTCGCTCTCTCTTCGATTTTTGGTGAGTCTGCGCACGATTTTCCCCGCTCTGATAATCTGCACGTGCATGAGGCTTCCAGGAAAACCCCTTGCTCCCTCCGTAAATGCGTGGAAAATGTTTGTTTACATTTGGCAGGACAACAGGAAGGGCGGGGGGCAAAGGATGCAGCAGCAGCCTCAATTGGATGTTGCCTACTTTCGGGCAGTGAAATATGACTTCTGCAATCGAAGTGGAGATGCAATTGCATTTGGCCCAAAAGCGCCTGCAACAAGCTGTTCCGGAAGTGTTAGTAATACGGGCTAAAACCGATTCCCGGCACTCTCTTTTTTTTTTTTGGTTTTCAGCCCATCAAGGCTTTATCTCTAATGAACTACCTCGCCGGCTGCTGATGGACAAACTTTTTTAATTATCATTAATGAACACGGAGGGCGCAATCATTGGCCAAGTTGCGCTCTGCAATTATTTTAATGTTCAATGAGGTTGCTGCAGCAGTCATCGCCAATGATTTATTACCGCCCCTTAGCTTTTCCGAAGGCCAGAGTCCAGAGTCCGTAGTCTATAGTCTATAGCCCATAGTCTGAAGTCCAGAGTCCGGAGTCCAAAGTCCGAAGTGTGTGAGAGTTGCCGGCATTGGCAATTAGATAGCTGGAAGGCCGGCGGGAAGGTCCATGAAACAGCGTTTATGTTTAATGCGTTATAATGGCCGTTGTAAGTGTACATAAGTTGATATAAAAGTTTTATGGCCCGGGCGTGAGCAGCCTCCGGGATCCGATATGGAAAAATGGGGCAATATGGGAAATGGGGGGCCGAGAATAGTACGACTACGATGTAGTCAAACCGAAAATAAACAAATCGATGAGTTATTCCCAGAGATAGCGCAATTGAAATTTAGATTTAATTCCACACTCGACACTTTTGCTAGAAATAAATTATTGACTTTCAAATTGAATTAGATTAATACGAATGCCGGATAAAGGCAGAAATTTATGTTTTTTTTTTGGGGGGAATTGGGGTAAAACCACAAAGATGGGCTTTTTTGAGGTTTCTCGATCGGGATCGAGCTGCAGCATAAATTATTCAGCCTGGGCCATTTATTGAATTACTTTGATATTGCCAGCCATAAATTATGTATGTTCAACAATTTTCCATAATTTATGCGTGCTTCAAAACAATTTAACCCCCTGCACCCCCCTTTGGGCACATAAAACACATCGATGGAAATAATTTCAATACAAAAACCTAAGCGCAGGAGGCGGCCAAACAAACACGCACGAATACCTCCCCAAACACGCACACAACCACACACGCACTTTTAACCGCTCACACACACAGCCGCACGCGTACGTGTGTTTAGACAGATATATCCGTATCTATAACTGCCTCACAATTGCAGCGCACTTGCCGCAGAAAGACCGATAAAAGAATAAACAAGGAGCAATGTTCCCGTTTTTGAGTATAGCCGAATTTTGAACACCCTTTATTCATTGAAATTTAAATATTCGGCGTTTAAATATCTTCGATTAATTATGATCTGCTTTTCTATTCCAAAATGTTATTTTAAAATAATAATTCTTAAGAAAAAGGTAAGGAAAATTTAACCTGTGATTAGAGTAGGAGCTAATTAAACTTTGTTTATTTAAAAAGGTACAAGGCAGCTTTAACCTGTGGTTAGAGTAGGTGATTAATTTTCTTTTATCTGTTAGTTTACTTAAGATATTAAAAAAAATATATAAAAAAAATTGTCTTCAAGAAGGAATAAATTAAAGAACAAAGGCTTGGAGAAAGTTGAACTTTTGGTTTGGGTAGGTGGGATAATACCCCTTCATAGGGCACTTCCCTTAACCATTTCCATTTCGCTTTTACAACCCTGCCCTTGCAAGGACCCAGACCCCATTTATGACATATGCGCAGGTCGAAGGGCAGAGTGGGGGGTAGGGGGTGGGGTGTGGAAAGGGCCTGCAGCAGCCAGACGCATCGCCAGGACAACTCCAACCCCCTTCTGGCACCACCCCCTTTACACCAGCGGCAGTGCAAAAAATCTTCGGTTTAAGCGATTTCGCCTGCTTCGGGCTGAGTTTTTCCTTTTGATGCTGCATGGAAAATGGTTGTATATGAATCGGAATCCGCAGATCCACGCGTTCCCCCATGACAAACCGTGGCAAATGGAGAAAGTGGGGAAGGGAGAAAGAAGAAAGGAGTCAGGGGCAGCTAGGTAACCGTAAAATAGGATGTGGGGTTGGGGTGTCGAAGGGCGGAGTGAAAGGCAAGAATTGCAATAAAACATAAAATTGCTGACTTCAATTCGTTTGCCATTTAGGTTTCGTTTTCCCTTTTTTTCCATGCCCATCTGGGCCATTGTGAGTGTGTGTTTGTGCGTGGGTGGGTGGTTGTAAAAGTGCGGGGTGTGGGTGTGTGGTTGGGCGTGTGGCAACCTGCGTTCGCCCCTTTATATATTTTATTAGGTTTTATTTGATTTACACTTGTTTTGTGCTGAAAGCACTTCGCCCCTGAACATGTTTGTGTGTGTGTGTGTGAGCGGAAGTGGAAGAAAAAGAGTGAAAGGAAATGGGGAAAAAGGTGGAAAAACTTCTCATTTTGAGTTTAGCATTTTCTAAACTTCATGATTTTTATTTACAAATTTTAGGCTCTGAATTGATAGCATAAAAATTTAAGATTCCCTTGCCATAGATAACATATTCATGAAAATAATTATTTCATATAATTCAGAACCTAGAACTTTTTGAACATATTTATATAAATAAAATTAAATAAGAAGATGGTCCTCTGAATACGAAAAATCTTCAATTACATAATTGTGAATTGGATAATACATCTCATTAACATTAAAAAAGGTTAATTTTGATGTTTCATTTTCTGAAAGCTTTAAATTAACTCCGTAAGCTTTGGTCCAAAAACATATATAAAAAGAAGAATCCATTCAAGAATCTGTTTTACCTGTAAGTCCGAGTGGAAATGAACCCTTTGTGTCCAGATCTGTCTAAAGGCGATTTAAATGCGTTGCCTTTCTCTGCGGAGAATGGGAATCCTTTCTGCCGCTGCCAGCTAAAGCACAATTAATTAAGCACGCACAGTGGAAGCACAAAGATTTTAATTAAAAATTTTGCTGAAGCTGCACAAGTGTCCTTTGGAAGTCCCCCTCCCCCCTCCCATTCCCTCACCCTGCTGTCCTGTTCACATCCTTTGTCGGGTTTTCCGTGTTGCACTTTGTTTCATTATTTCATTACATGCCTGAGCTGCAATTGCAAGGCTTTCAATTTAAGCCGAAAACTGATGAACGGCAATTGGTAATTGCCAATTGACAATTGTCGATTGGCCATACCACCGGTGGACCAACCAATCCGTCCCGCTTTTGGACCACTTCACAATTTCCCTATTCAATCCACACCCTTGACACACTGAGCTGTTGATAAAATTCTGCCTTTTGCTCTACTTCCCGTGAGATAACCTTTATCAACTTATGGCCAACCAAGTGAAAGAAATCTCAGTCTCAGCGGGAAATTCTAAAGAGCTGCCTTTAAGCCTTAAGGTGTTAATGAGTGCGATAAGATCCAAATTAGAATATCCATAATTCATCGTGTTTGCGGGGCACATTCAATGCGAGCTGCTCTTTGCCGGCCATGTTTGCTCGGGGCTCGAGGCCGCTTTCGTCCTGACGGCCCTCTTTAATCGATTTTAAGATCCTTGCAGGCATTTAAGAATTTGCAGATATATTTAATACATTCAAATGGTTTTTTTAAGGTTTATGCAACAAACAGTTTAAACTTTTAGAACAGTATACAAATAAATTGAATTCTTTAATAGATTAGTTTATTCTTTTAAAAAAAACATTTTAATCTTGGCAGTTGCTCATGGATTATTTATCTGCTTAGTCACCTACTAATTCAATAAATTAAAATTTATTAATAATTTCAGGCAATGAATCGAAGCCGGCTGCTACCACATAAGTTCGTATCAGCTAACTTTGACTGGCCAACTGCAGAGTTACCGCAACTCCGTTTTCCATCCCCGGAAACTCTTTCCTCCCCCTTGAACACCTGTGTTTGCTTTTAAGCTTAGCGCCAGCAGCCCCAAAGACAAAAACAGCTTCACACGCTCGACTCCTGTCGTTGTCCTGTTGTCCGTGTCCGTGTCCGGAACCGTGCTCCACACTCCGTATTCCACACTCCGAGCTACATGCTCATGCTTCGCAAGCGGAGTCCGCAGGTATTAAGGTCAGAAGTATAAAACATGCAAAGCTGCCTGCCAGCCTCACCTCGAATCCTGGCCAGAGGGCAGAAAGCGCAGGCAGTCCATCACAAAAACAAACACCCGGCGAGTGTTAACCGACTCGGACTACGATTTCGACTATGGGTTGAGCCCGGAACATAGCAAGCTGCTGAATCATAGTTTTACAGTACAGTGCAGTGGTTTTATGGCGAGGAAGCTACTGAAAGATGATTTAAGTAAATATGAATACAACGCAATCAGACTGTACAGAAGTTTTAATAATCAGAAGGGGTTCGAAAATGTTTGATAGCTTTTGAACAAAGGATAGAAAAGATATAATGAGAAGAATTCATCGACATCTAACCTATGTAGTTGTTATGAAAAATACATTTTAAATTAAACATTAGTTTATGAAAAAATGATATAAAAAATGTTAAAGAAATAAAAGTTGTGTACCTTACACTTTAAAGAACTCACTGATAACCTTGTTTCCTAGAAGCTACTCTTATCTGTCCCTCAAAAACGCCTTTGAAGAACGTAATTAAATACCTTACTCAATTGGCAGCGAAGAAGCCTTGACCTGACTTCAGTATTTTGGCTGTGACTGTACTGGCTCACAGTCTGGAATTTCCCTAATGTTGCGCCCATAAATATGCTACACTTTGGCGTTGGTCCTTCCACTCCTTAACCC